AAAGAGGAAACATCTGTTGGAATAATTTACTTGACTGACGCAGAGGATAGGATTAAAATTCACTCATTTATTTGGTCTGATGCTGAATTTCAATTAAACAATACAGGTATTTGTTCAGTTTGACAAAATTTCCTCACTTTACGTGTGGGTACATTTATGCATAACCCTAATTACTGGATCTGGCAAGGGAATACTGTGATTTGTCATTATTTTGTATCTGCATATACTCTGAGAATGAATATTTCTATGTTTTGAGTTATTTTTTCCCCCCAAAAAAAAAACATTTTAAAGAATTCACAAACCTTTAACTAATTCCCAAGACTCTTTGGTTTCATTGAACTCCACTAGTAACAAGATTAACATATGTCTCAAGATCAGTGATTACACGTGAAATTGTAACATAAAGCAACCTTCAGCATGCAAGATAAAAGTTTCACTTACAAGTTTTTTGAAGATAATAAATGCATGTCATCTGACTGTATTTTTAATCAAACAAATAATCAGTAGAAACAAAACCAATGGAATGGACAGTGGCAGGTTGTCAAGAATAAAATAGTATTAAATGTTCCTCAATTAAATTTTCAAACCTACTAATAAATTCTGACTTGAATGTAAAATAAAACACTACATTTAGTAATTTAGTTACAGAAGAATACCTGTGTCAGCTGAATTTATATATTTATTTTATCTACAGCATTGCATAAATTATTAATTTTTTGTTGGTCAGTACAGCTGATAAATAATAAAAGTGAGGTTAAAAGTAGCGTTAAAAATCTGGAAGGAGTGATTTTAGGTCCCAAATACTGAACAAAACTATTACTGCAGGCAAAACTGTAAAAACTGTAAGTCCCGAACAGCAAATCCCTATGAGCAGATTTTATTTCCACAAACAGTTGCACTACAGTTAACAAGGCTGCTTATGTGAGTAAGGAATATGTACACTAAACTCTGAATTGTTTAAATTCATCTAATGTCTAAATGTCTGCAAGGCACACACATCAGATTTTCTTTCTTGATTATCTTGATGGTCTTGAGCTGATGCTACAGGAAAATGCTAATCAAGTATATAATACACTGGAACATGTCTATTAGAATTAAGCTATAACGATGAAAAGTGATTATTTCTCTTTCTGCATATAATTGCCTGGATGGGATCAACCTTCACTAATGCTATCAACACTAACTGTACTTCCAAGAATGGATTTTGATTTTATTTTATCTTTGTGGAAGATTACAATCAAATGCATGTGACAGAAACTAGTAACACTGGAGTAAAGTTATTACTATTAGCTAATCTGAAACTGAAATCTATTATCCTGTCTTTCAAAGAAATAAAGACAACAAATATAACATGGTAAAAAACACTGAAACTGATTTCAGATTAAATTCTATGTACGAGTGCTCGTTTTCCAACTGATTCAGTCAGAACTGTACAACTAATAACCAACAGAAGTAAGAGGAAGATGCCTGAGGAACATACCTGAGTTTTTGCCTGACTTATTTTTTTTCCCCGGATTCTTGGCAGAGGTTTTCTTTTAACTTTGTGCATCTCAGACAAAACTAAAAAATTTGATTTTTCTTTCACAGATGAACTGTAGTGAAAGGGAAGAATAGGATAAGGTGTTTCAAAGTCAGCTGCAAAAAAAAAGAAAAAAGGATTAATTCAATATCCCAAGTCAAACCGTACCTATTTTTATATTCAGTATGATTGATCACAGGTTCCAATATATCTTGTTATAGAAAACAGTATAACAAGCCTTAGGGTAAAATGCCTCTAATTTGATAACTGAGAATGGAAAACTTTGATTGAAATTACAGAAAGTGCTGCAAGGAATGATGAAGGTGAATATTAAAGCAGGTATTCCCATTCAGGTAGAGTTATTTGAAAGGGAGTAAATTCAATTACATAGCACTTCCTTACATCAGTAGTTATTCAGGAGACAGAATATTACTTTCAGAATCATTGTCATCCACAGATGGCTTCCAAACACTGAGCAGACTGCAGCTTTCTTGGGGCTGAGGCTGACAGGCTGAGTGCTTTTCACATCATGTCTTCAAAAATAACTGATCTTCATGAGATTTCATGAACTAACAATTTGAGATAGTACGGCTATGAAGAACATGCTCTCTCCCCCAAGGTACATATCACAGTTTAACTTCGAAAGCAACAGTGTAACTGCCCCCAGTTGTATTTTATAAATATGGTCAATCAAATAATTTTGAGTAATTTGAAGTCTAATGTCTGTTTCCAAATCCTGCAAGATGGCAAGACATGCTAAAATTAACTTTTATATTGGAAAAGTTCCATTTCTACTGCTGTGTTTTGGTCTTACCACCAGTACAAGTTTGATTCCTATTACATGTATTGTTAACTGCTCTTTTATTGTTTCTATAATATTGCAAATAATCATGAAGTAATTGATTAGTTTGCTTACAAAAATGTAGATAGGTTGCATGTTCATTTGTCATTCTGTCTTTGTTTTTTCTCCTGGCAGCTTTGGAGGCTTTCCAATTCATCAAGAACTGTCTTTCCATTTCTTTAATTTCTTTCCCATCAAGAGATTCTGTCAAAGAGAAGACAATATTTTCTGTGATACACCAAGTTAACTAAAAGGCTGTACAAAGCTGTACGTAATGTGTACTGGTTCTATATTTGCTCTCTTCAAATCTTTTTTGCTCTTTTTAGTCTTTTGGTAAAAAAAATACCCAATACAGATTGATATTCATATTTTAATAAGTTGCAAGGGTGAGCTGACACATCTTAATTACAAAAGAAAGCATCAATTATTTTTATAACTTTCAAGATGCATTCACATTCAGTTAACATGCAACACCTTAGAGAAAGTTCTGAAGAAAAGCTATGCTCTTACACAAGATATATATAGATGCAGAAGTTCAGGTTAAGAGAGAAAAACTGCACGTCCTAGCAGTCAAGGAATCCTACAGATCATGAAGAAAGACAGATTTGGCTCTTTAAGAATAACTTTACTCACTTAGGTGCCATTAAGCTTATGCTCTTCCTTGGTTGTATCTGCATTTTTACATCACACCAAATGAAATACTTAATTTGGCCACAAATTTAGGTTGCATTAGAACTGACCTAAGGCACTGTTATTTTCATTGTGCAGATAGGCTTTCTCTTTTTCTTAATGGCCAATATTTTGTACTCTCAGAAAAAAGAAAAACAAGTTCTGTAATTAAAACTTTTGAGATAACTGCCACCTTTACCCAAAAAAGTAAAAAATTAGATGAAATTTTTTTACTTGTTTCTACAGTATGAATACTTGCCTATAGAAGACTACGTTTCTTCCTTTTATGCTAAAATTATCTCAAAATAATAATGTAAAATGCATGACAGTAAGGTCAAGGTTAACAAATACATTAATGACGTAAGTGTAAACTGCTTTTAAAGACAAACCTTATCTACAACTGAAACTGTACAACTCAAACACCTAAGCAACTATGGGAAGCTGACAGGGGAGTAGACTAAACATACCTCTGAAAATCAGTTTCACAACATCTGGAGTATGAACACAAAAAACTCGTATTATCTTATAACAATCTCACCGATCTATTACATCTATTAGTAAAACAAATGATTAAAACTAATAGCAAAAGCTAAGCAACACTGTGCAGTTGGCTACATAAGCAACTTTAGCTACATTACCTGTAGATAAATTAAAAAATTACCATTTGACATAAATACCTATGACAATAATTGTGTTTACTTACATAGTGCTATTCAAGAACAACTAATGTATCAGCTAATTTCTAAGCCAGTGAGGGTTATGCGTGGTGTTTGGGGCTGGCTATTGGTTTTATTTTTTACCTAAAGTTCGTGACTGTACTATAATCCGGTCCCTGTACTTTGGTTTGTGGCAGATGGGGTTTCCTGTAAGATCCATTCTGCATAGCTTTGTCCATTTCTGTAATACAACCTCCAAATCCTGCAATTTATACAAGAAGAGAACACTATGATTATTTTTCCCTTTGCAGAATAAAATTCAATAGTAATGCAATTCGTTTAGTCAGGCCCAAATCCTTCAGGCAGAAATAATTTCAGTGAGACTATTCATGTATTAATATACACGTTAATAATGTGCATTTTCAAATAGGGTGATGCGTAGCATTCCCAGAATATATCATAATTGCACAGATGAAATGGTGATGGAGTTGGAAAACTGCATTTTTAAAGGTACAGTAATGCCAGCTATGGAAAATTACCACTACAATCCCACTAAAGTGCCTAAAGTTGAGGAATTATCAGACAAATAATTTGTATGATATGTAATGTCTGTTAATGCAGCAGGTAAAGGGAGGTGATTCTCCCCCTCTACTCCACTTTCATGAGACCCCACCTGCAGTACTGCATCCAGCTCTGGGGCCTACAACATAAGAAGGACATGGACCTGTTGGAGTGAGTCCAGAGGGGGGCCATGAAGCTGATAGGAGGGCTGGAGCACCTCTCCTATGAGGACAAGCTGAGAGAGTTGGGGCTGTTCAGCCAGGAGAAGGCTCTGAGGAGACCTTTTTTTGGCCTTTCAGTATTTAAATGGGCTTTTAAGAAAGATGGGGACAGACTTTTTAGCAGGGCCTGTTGCAATAGGACAAGGGGCAATGGTTTAAAACTAAGAGACAGTAGATTTAGAATAGATACAAGGAAGAAGTTTTTTACAATGACAGTGGTGAGACACTGGAACAGGTTGCCCAGAGAGGTGGTAGATGCCATGCCACGAAACATTCAAGGCCAGGTTGAATGGTGCTTTGAGCAACCTGGTCTAGTGGAGGGTGTCCCTGCCCATGGCAGGGGGTTGGAACTAGATGATCTTTAAAGGTCCCTTCAACCCAAACCATTCTATGATTCTGTGATTATATGATCCCCATGGTCACCAGAGCCCTTAGAGTATCAGTGACTGAGTAGATCTTGAAAAATTTGTGGAAGAATAAATACTTCACAGAGAAAGAGCAGACTCTAAAAAGTATTTTACAGGAGAAACAGTAATTCCCCCCCTCCTACATAACTGTGGGTGGTCAGTTACAGTATTGGCCCAAATACTGAAATTTTTGAAATATACCTTTCTCTGTCTGGTTACCCAAGGGCAGTATGACCTAGATAAAACTTCTTCTGTCTTTTAAATACAATAAATTAAAGTTAAAAGGATGTAAAACTTAGCAGATTGGTCCTTTCTACTCAGAGACCCTACTTTCTGAAATACTTTCTTTTCAAAATTTCCCTTAACTGTCACTCTTGATAGGCTTCCTTACATGTGTGAAAAGCTTAAGCAGGGATTTAAAACAATCTATATGAATACAATAGGAGAGAGAATGTTCCACATTTGTAATAATTTGGAAAAAGTCTACTAATCATTATGTGACAGATTCTAAACTGTAAAGTCTCTAGAATTTTGTAGCTTGATGCTAATGAACTACCTAGCAATGTAGGTATCCCTTAGCTCCTTCAAATTTAGAAAATCACCTGGGTAATGCAAGCAAGAATTCCAGTTTTGTGGGCTCTACTCCCTCGGTAGAAAATCATCCTGGGAATATTCTATGGGTTATATAACACATGTTTAGAAAAATCACATGGAAGAGGAAGTGGCAGCACAGCCTCACACCCCCTAACCATATCATTTTTTGTATATCATTTATGACGGTGATATAATCTATTGTTACCCAGTGATGAGAATATATTTTCAGAAAAAAGAGGGCAAAAGTCTGGTTCTGTGAGGAGCAAGCAAGACTGATAAAACAATGCAAGCAACTCTGAGGACCAGTCCATGTCAAGAAATGTTGATAAATCTCATAATGTTACACAGCAAAGCTTTATCAGAATGTATCAGAATAGCAACATGATAACCCCCACAGTTTAGGTGCTAACACTTAATCACAATCACAACAATGTAGGTGAAAAATATTTTAGGCTAGGCTTGTTAAAAAAGGAATAGCATTTAGCAAGTGTATTTATTTATTCTTACCTGCATATTCAGGCATTGTCATTGAAATATTTAATGTGTTCTAGATTTCACTAGAAATAATTTTTTCAAGTAATAATTTTGCAACACAAAATTGCCTATTACTGAAATAAAATGTATACAGTTTAACTTTGATGAATGTATACAAAGAGTCCTGTGGATTTTTGTTAGCTGTTACTTGATAAATGACCCAGAACATGCTTACTCCAGTGTATGTTTATCTAAGAGCACACTAATCCTCTGCTGAAATATGATTACCCTTTCGATACGCTCTAGTTGTTCATTGCCTTCCTGTCTCTAATAAAGTGCTTTCACTTCCCAGCTTTTCAATAAGCTGTACTAAAGGGACCAGACACTCTTCTGGGCAGTCTCCATTTGATAAATGATCATGTCACGCTATCACTTTGAGGTCTGCTACAAAATACTGATGAGCAAATTATATTCCATCTGTGGGGGGAGAAGGGGGAAGGGCAAGTGCCTTAGTAGGCAGCTGTAGTGCTGGCAATAACATTCTTACCAATTAACGATGGTCATTTAAGAATTGGTATTTGACCAGTATGCTCCAGTTTTTATCGGAAACGTCTAGTCCAACTGCCCTAACTACATCTACAGACAGCAATTTGTCACCATTTTGACTACCTGTCATAATCTATTTGAGAAAATCTATAATTTTTCTCTTGTTCCTGACTGAATTTTGAAGCGAATGAATTCATCTTTTGTGATATCCTCTTGTCATAATCAATACTGGGCAGAGGTTGAATAAATTAAAGATTTAGGAAATAAAGATTTCTATAGGTATTTCTAGCTACATTTTAGTTATCTATCCAAATACTCAAGTCATAAACTTCCCAAAACTAATGTAATAAATAAATAAAGAAATAAAATCCTGACTTTTTGTAAAAAGGAATAGTTGTGGGTTTTTTTAATAGAAAATTTTTTTTTAAATTCACTCAGTATTCCAACCCAAATATACTGCAGCCTAGAAGTCCTTGTGAACCTGACTAAAGTAAACCAGAAGCTTGATAGGATAAATAAGTGAAGTAACAAGCAATAGAAAACAAAGAAAAGCCAATTCTATTAAAATTGATTATATTCTTGATAACTAGCCTAAGACTTTTTTTTACATGTGGTAGCTAGTCATAGTAAGTTATTTTGCATGAACTGAGAAAAATTACTTAATTTTGTTCTGTCTACTGTTCAGACTGCATTATATAAACTTAAGTCATGTGAGACAAGGTCACATGCCTTGATGTCTGTTAATTATGCTAACAGTGCTCTGAATTAGCCAGAACCTTAAGTACTTGAATTTACTAGCCCTAATTTTCAACTACGCTGAAATCAATGTGGCATTGTTGAAAAGCATGGGTTTTTATAATAATGTGAAAAAACAGAGATAAATGTTTGATATAAAATAATTGTACTAATTATACAAAAGGGAGAAAAGTCTACATGAGAAGAATGTATTTCATGCATTTCTTATGCCTTTCACATTTCTCTCTTTTGCACATATTCTTTTTTCCTGCTGCCATCAACCTCTGCTACACAGATCACTGCTGTTGACCTGCCCTGCTAAGACCTGGATGGCACCTCTACAAGAAACATACTCAAAACTTCCCTCAACTATTTTTTTAAACAGTTAGTGGATGTAGTGGATGTATAAAATTGTTCTCCTGCTAGATGTTCATTATAAGTTAAAGCCTCTTAAGTAGAGCTAAAACTGACTTTTTTTTTTTTTTAAATATACAAAATAATTTGCATGGCCTACTGCTTTTTCCGCCTTTTTTTTAAAAAAAAATTTCAGTAAGAATTTATATTAGTGGTAAGTAGAGCCTACTAAAATGTAATCTCTAAAGCACAGTAATTGTAGCTGGAAAGTTGGATATCCAGCTGTATCACACTATATGTTAGACACATTCAATATAGTAATTAATTTTATAGGTCTGCAAGGATATGGATATAAATACCCTATCTGCTTCATATTCTCAAAACTTGGAGATTGTTTAGAAAACAGAGGACGGTCACTTTCAAAATTTACCTGAACTTGACCCAAGTGTAACTGACAGCAGCAGCAGCTAATTCGAATGCTAACCACATAACTTTTTGACAGCTGTGACCATGTAACATGGAAATCTAAATGTCTAGTTGTTTTGGGTAAATATTAACTCTGGTCTTCCTGACATTTAATAATGATTAAATAATATACACATAGTTACTGAGTAATACAGTCTTTTTGTGTTCTCCTTATTCTGTTTCAATAGATGCTGTTTTTTCCTCTGAGATACTAAAAATGCTGTTTCTGAACTGGCATCCTCATTCGTAAAAATAATTGGTTCTTTGGCTGAGACAATCTTTTAAGATTATCACAACTTAATTATTTTGTATTTATAAGAAAGAAAACAGACAATAAAAAAAAAAGACTGTAGTATGTTTTATTTAGAAAAGGAACCCTTTTCAAAAGGGAAGCTTTCGAGAGACTACCTGTTTAAAAAACTTGTTATTTATGTAACCAACACATTCAGTATGGTTTTAATTACCCAGCAAAAGCCTACATGAATTGTATTTTGATATTAATTCAATCACAACTTCCAGCCAGAAGCACAGCTTGAAATACAATACAGGAATAATTGTCTAGTAAAAAAGAAACGCATCATTCAACATTTTTTACTACTAAAATGTACGAAGAGTCCAAACAACATATATTGACCAAGAAAATTGCTAGATTATGCACACAAAGTACTGGAATCTCCTCATTAGGAGATCATGCCAAATTTAATGTAAAAAATATTAAGTGTTCTAAGAATAAGAATAGTTATTTTAACAATTACTAACCAATGAAAGTTAACTTTTCTAAATAAATAGAATGTATGTTCAAACCAGTAATGAAAGAGTTTATTTTAATCAAGGCTTTGTCTTGGTCATTTTGGGTTATGATTTAAGCCAATTAATTTCAGTATTTATTAATAAAAATATAAATTTCAAAAAGCAGAACACTAATGTGTATGGTTTACAGTAAATGAAAACAGTGTTTATTAAGCAATTTATAAAGTTTGCTCTGTGCCTCCACTGTGCAATGATGGTGTCAGCATACTGCTCAACTGAAATTTGATATTCAGTTACTAGCATGATACCAAAATTATTTTTTTTAACTGCTCTTTATGTCAAGAAGTAGAAGACATCGTAACTTATAAAAATAATGAGAAGTGACAAGGCCAATACTCCTGTTCATTTGAAAAGATAAGCTGGAAATTTTAAGCCTAGAGTATTCTCTTTGAACCACATTCACTACTGCAAAAGGAAGAACATAAATATTTTCATTTGTTTTAGCTACTACTGTGGAAGTTAGAGCTCTTAATTATGAAGACAAGTCTTTCCTTAGAAGAAATTAATGAAGGAAAGTCAATGTTTACTTTCAAAAAGCTGCATAATCAGCTAGATGATCTGATATCCAGGAAGCAGCTTTTATTTAAGTTAAAATAGATTATTAAAAAAATTGAATATGGTAAAATATTGCAAGTTAATTAGCAAACAATGGCCACATAATCTTTGCAAATTAAGCCACTGAAAATTACGCAGATGGCCAAAACATACTCACTCTACATTTCGGACATAATATATTATAGTTATAGCTTCCATGCATTTACTACTCGGTTGATAGATGCATCCACAATTGCCACTTTACATAGGATTACAGGACATTTGGACATCCTAGATAAACAGTTCTCCATTTTTAATCTCAATGAAATTTTTGGATGAGAAAATACAGTATGCTTGGAAAGTCTGAGGTTCAGTAACTGTAGAAGTAATGATTGCTTTTACTCATCTATTTAGTGATAAAGATGAATTTGACAAATTTCTTATTACCCACACTAAAAAGAACAAATATTTATTTTAATACCTTCATATGTTGAAGTTGATTGTCAGCTGCTCTAAAACAAGAAAGATTTTCCAAAACTGCCAGCTCTTCTAACTCATCAATGTTGTTATTGCTGATATTCAACACAGACAAAGATTTCTGGAGGAAGAAAAGCAGAAAAAGAAAATTATTTTTTCATGTCATGCATTGATCAAGTTTTAAATTCTTACGGAAAATTCTCTTAAAGGAAGAACAAGCATATGAAGCAGAAACATACAAATAAAACATACCTCACACATTGTTTTATGTTGGCTTTGCATCTTGTCCTAAAATGCTGTTTATTTTGGTTCTGAAGTCAAACTAAAGTAAGATTATTTCTCAATTATTTAATGAACTCTTAGTAAATACAGAATTTTTGGTTTTCTCTAAATATGTTCAATACTTTACAGCGTTCTTTAAGTGCTACTAACTCTACATTTGAAGTGTGAAAGAGACATAGAAATTGACTGCCTTTTCCAAGGTTACACATGAACTGGATAGAGCTGAAATCTGTATCTGATACCCACGTAGTCTCATTTAATAGCCAGACTATGCTGGTTTTCTTTCAGGCTTGATCTTACAAACTTCTTGGTATAAATACCTCCGTGCCTCACATCTTCTTTGGAATCCTAGTGAGTCACATAATGCACTATGCCGTTTGTAACAGACAATAAGTTAGAGAGATCTTTACAATCTAGATAAAAATTAAAAGTGTTTCAGGAAATAATGTAGTTTCACGTAAAAGGAACAAGCTTATATCTCCAGAAGATGAAAAAGGACACCTAATCCAGTGACTTTAGAATTATACTAGATATGGGACTTACTAGCAGCTAGAAAATGTCTATTTCAGCAGTGTATATAGGAAATGTAACCCCCTTCTAAAATCTGACCAGGATCTACACTGCAGGCAGAAATTACCAGTATAATCCTGACACACACAGTACATAAACTTAATCTCCTCAGTCAAAAGATTCATTATATTGTCATCATCAAAACATTTGCTCATGGCACACAGGGAGCTATACAGCCCCATGTTTTTGGCTCTTACATCTTTGACAGCATTAAGAGCCAGAAACAGACAGAAAAAGATGAAGTAAGAAGTGACGTCTTAAAGAGGTACCAAACACTTTGTACTCAAAGGATAAAAACGGAATGTTTTTACATGTAGCTTCCACAAAGATGTTACATGGTCAAGAGTACAAAGTGTTTCTTACAAAATCAAACCAAACCCACACCAAAAGACCTTAAATAAAAGCCACAAAGAACAAAATGCTGGTGACTTTAGGCCAGGATGCTGAAAAGCACTGAGGTATATGAGTTATCATCCTGGGAAGATTATAGCTGTATAACCTCCCTCTACTTTAATTATTTCTCCAATATAGAAGGAACAAAGTAAAAGTGCTCCCACAGGAAAGGCTCATTTCTACTAAAGGAAAATGGCTACACATGTCTTGGATTACTTAATCTCAAAACAGAAAGAATTGGAGCTAGGTCAAATGTTTATGATATACACATGAACAAAAGAACTCACTTTTCAGGGGGTTCTTCATCTTCACAAAAAGAGCTTGTCAAGCCCTGACTACACTCTGGGAGATACAGCAAGATTCATTTTTCAGTATAGACATCCATTATTAAATAAAGTCTATTTTTTTAACAACTTCAACAATTTATTTGATGTTTACTAAGCAATTAACATGTTGAAAAACTTCAAAAGCTGACTTTCCTGAAATCTTGACATCCACAGAAAAATTGCAGAACCAAAACCGAATGCTTCTGATTGTGTTGTTCTTAATATCCAGACAAAAACTGTTTGCATCTTTTTTTTTGCCATTGTGTTCTCTAGAGAAATACTAGAAGCAGCAAATAAGCAAATACAACAATCAAATCAGAGAAATACCAACAAACCAATTCACTACAAACTAAGTAAACTAGGGTACCTAACAGTGACAAATTCCTACCTTTTTTTTTAGTTTATTCACATTCTGTTGGTATAGGGCATCCACACATTTCCTTACTTCCTCTCTCTATTCTCATTTCCTTCCTTTATAGGAAAATAAATGAAGAAGTAGAATCTGCTGGACCCCTTGCTTATATAAGAATTGGGATGGGAGTCCTTTGGTAGAATTTGAAAGAATGTCACCAATTGGCAGAAAAGGAAAACGCACAGTGATCAAGTCCTAATAATTTCTGTCAAAAATACTGATCTACTGATTAACAGCATATTGAAATTCTCAAAATGTACCTTATAGGAAAATAAATGAAGAAGTAGAATCTGCTGGACCCCTTGCTTATATAAGAATTGGGATGGGAGTCCTTTGGTAGAATTTGAAAGAATGTCACCAATTGGCAGAAAAGGAAAACGCACAGTGATCAAGTCCTAATAATTTCTGTCAAAAATACTGATCTACTGATTAACAGCACATTGAAATTCTCAAAATGTACTTACTGCCAGGGATCTAAGAGATCTTGGATCAAACAGAAGCTTTTCACCAAGAGGGAGATGTTGACTTTCAATATGTAGCTCCCTTATTTCTTCTATTTTATCCAAACCCTCTACTACAGTGATACAGTTGCCTCCCAAATACCTGCAAAATAGAACACAAAATAGATTTTATATCCTTTGATGGCAAAAGCAAACACAAGGCCTCAATATATTAAAAAACCCCAAAACTATAATTAAGTAATACCTAGAAATTATAATAGAAAAAGTAAAGAACCTAGCATGTGAGTAGAACATACAGCTAAGAGATCCAAGATTTTTTTAGAGGTTTCATATATTGCTATTATTATTATTAAATGGTTGAAAAAATAAAATAATTTAAATGCAAATAAAAACATTAAGATGATGTGTCATTACTTGTACCATAGAACACTTAATCCAAAAAATCATAAGCAATTACTTTTATTTTAAAATCAAAATCTAAGAGCTGAAAGGACCTTAATGGCTGCATATTTTTTTTTATTTCTTAATGTAATTATTATTCTTTTACTAGTAAAATACATACATTATTTTCAACTTACAGTTTTTCAAGTTTTTTCAGCGATGAGATATTTTCTATACATGAAATACAGTTGTTCTGAAGGTAGAGGTGCGTTATATTTGAAGCAAAGTCCAAGTTCTGGATTTGACTGATTTGGTTATCATATAAATATAGAACTCTAAGATTTTTACACAAAGAGAGGTCACCCTGAAATAAACAATAACAAATTAATGCTACGTAGAGTTCACTCACTGCCTCCTTCTGGAAGGTGTTGATTGTTTTTATATTTAAGTCCAACTGAAATAGTCTATTCTATTAAGTTCTGTGGCATGATTTTTACATTTTAATCTTTAACAATCACTTTTAACAACGATTTTTTTCTAGAAAAACTGAGTTAGTATCAGTAATCACCTCCTGCAGAGATTTAAGACTGAAATCTATCATTACTATTCTGCCGTACAGAAGGTGAGGACTACAGTCATCATCAGCAGGTACATCGCATCCTGTGTGACTTCATTCCCTTCTGTGCCTTCATCAGGTGGATTTCAGAAAAGCACAATTGCTAGTGGAGTTGTCTCCATCAGACCTCAGTGATGTAATGGAAACCAGTTCCTGACAAAAGAATACTGATTAATATAAAAACTTGCAGTTCAATGTATTTTAATGCACTTCCAAGTCTAAGATTCCACTCAAATGTCAAGTTTCTTTGAATATATTCTTAAATAACTAAAAGGTCACAAGTTCTAATGAGAGTTTCTGTAAAACTTCTCCATGGCATCTGATGAACCAGTCCTAATCAATTGGACTGATCAAATTAGTACCTTGCTATGACTGTGCATGTTCTTAGGCGTGGCCTGAATAAACCCATTTTCTTGCATGAAGCTGTTCAAATACAACAAGCTGTTTAATCTTCTTGACCAAAATCACACTTTTAAAGGAGAAATAAATCATACACAACAATACAGTTTTTCAGGGTTCAGCAATTTCAAAATATGCTCAGTATCTTGAGGGGATTAAAATTAACTCATGACTTACTGAAACCTGTATAAATTTCCTATTATTAAAGTCAAAGGAAAGAGGACTGAGTTAAGCTTGCAAATTCAGTCTTTGAAAATGAAAAGGTCATGGATTATTTTTTAAATGGATAAGCCCCGGGGAACAATTTTAAAAAAAATGTAGATTTTGACCTGACTAATTTGAAAAAGCCACTATACCATTCCAAATTTGTTAACCTCATTTGGCTTATATCCTGTTCCTGAACTCCCCTTTCCTTTCTCAGATTTCCGTTTGAAATCTAAGGAATAAATCAGATAGATTGAAAGGACTGTGCTGCGAGTTAACAACTCTTTGTAAAATTCCTCCAAGACTAGAAAAAATATGGCATTAATGAGAATAAAACAAGTGTTGCACTTAATAGAACGTAATATCATTAATACTTCCTTTAAAACAAAAAAAAAAATCTGATCTGCAAACCTACTAGTTCCTCACATCTTCTTCTATTCCACACTTTACATTTTCATAAAGGTAAGCATCAGTAAATACAAGTCTTTAAATAAAAAACCAAACTGCTGCTGAAAATATGAACTATATGAGCACTATAGCTAGATTTCAATAGGGCCAGAGCACTGCTGTCAAAGCCCTACACCTACTGATTCAAGGGCAACAGCCTGTCTATATTCTGTAGGAAAAGTGCCAGGTCTAAATGATTAATTTGAAATATTCTCTTTCTTAAGTGGCTAAAGAGGTAAACAAGTGGAGTTATCATTTCCATTCTGGCGACTTCCTTAAAACTCCTTTACAATGTAACAACTGTAGGAAATCATCAAAATAGCAAATGGTGTTGATTTTATTTTGAGATGCAGATTTCTATTATAGTTCTGTGAAATACTGCAAAAACACTTCAACACTTCAGTTCATTTCTCTTGTGTAATTGCTTACATGGATTTTCTATTTTAATTAATTAATTGCAAAAATAGTTAGTGTACAGATAATATCTTTCTTGTATGCTACACCAATGATATATATTTCCAGTTACAGGTAAGTAAAATACTTCATTTGCTACATAAAGAAAAACGTGTCAGGTTGACTGTAAGAAACCCTGCAGACTGTTGGAGTTACATTTATGCACGCTGAGGTTTTATATGAAAAGTTACAGCTGAAAGATTATTTTCACATTTCAAATGCACACACATTTAAAATCCATTTAAACACTATTACATACAAGCAGTGTTCCACACGATAACAGCAGTGAATCCTGAAGCATGTTTCCAAACAGATGTATTATTAAGGCTTAGTTGCTAATCAATATAAATGTTAAAACATAATATAGCTGTTATAAAACAGAAACTTGGCTTTGCTTGTTTGTCTCCACAATTATGAACAACTCATCAGAACAGTAGCTACAAAACATTTGAGTAGTCAGGTTAAAAAGAATAAAGAAAAAGAAATCTTACAATTGCATCTATATTTTTATCTGATAAATTCAGATGAATTATTTTTCGCAGATACTGTGCAAAGTCCTCTTCATTGCGACTCCTGTGACTGATGCTTTTAGCAATTAGGTCCACTGTTAGTTGAACCATAATTCTGTAACAGGCCAAACTGCTCTGCCACTTCTTTTCATAGTGTATTCCATGTGCTCTTGTAAGTAGTTTAATAAAATGCCTCAAAAACAAAAAAGAAAGTGTTATACTGCTTGTACCCAGATGTTCAACAAAGCTTACATGCATACTTCAAATCTGATATTTCCCTACCAATTCCCTGTTTTCTTAGTGACACATTTATGTATAGTCTTTGCTACTTATCAAAACCTACCCCATTCATGTTGTCATTTTTCTAAACTTTTACCGTATTCACCTTCAAAATATATTGTTATATTAGCTTTGTTTTTTCAGTGTGCTTAAGAGGGCTGTACGCTAGTCTTCATCTTCTTTATACAGAAATATGAGCTCAACGGTCCATAGCAGAAGTAATTCTCACACATAACTAATTAATGGCAGCTCATAACCTAATTCTTCATTAGAAAATACATGACTCTCTATATCAGGTTTCACAGGCTGTGAGAAGTGGCATAAAGCTACAGCACTCCACACATCTGCACAGCCCTTCTGTCACGCACACAACTGCGTGTGCATTTGTTATGCACAGCGAAAGACTCTTGAGTTTTTTGCACTGAGGCGTACTGTAGAGGGTCTCACAACAATATCAACTTTTTATTTTTTAACCTCTGGCCATTGTTTCAAGTGAGCTTATAAATTGGGGAAGGGAAGAAGGCGAGACACGTATTTTGAACCTGATGTGTACATGGTCTGGGGATAAAAATACTCTAACAAATGTACCTTAACAACACAGAATAGAAAGGTTGCTTTTTTAGCCCACATCAGTGTATCAAACCAATTGAGGAGACAGCGAAAAGCACCCCACTACTAAATCTCATGCAGCCACATAAACCAAGGCATGGAGAATCCTCCTTGTTAGCATTACGGGTAAGAGAAACTGAGGAAAAGCGAAGACTGAAACTGTAGAGACAGAGGAAACTTCCTTACTTACTAAGCAGGGCTGAAGCTCTGTAGTTCCCCCTTATCCATGTGGGTTTAGGTTTTTTCTTTTTTTTTAAAAAGGTGGGGGAAGAAATAAAGCCGAAAGGACATTATTTTTTCTTACCGAGAAGTGTGCGTTTTTTTTGCTTTTTACACCAAAAAACCCCAAACCTTTCGGAGCCTTTTCTTAGATCTTCTTCCAAAAACAAGCATCAACAGCAGCGGAAAAGCCAGGCTGCCAGCGGGGGCCTTTCCGTGAGGCACCTCTCTCTCGATCCCCGCTTCTACAGCCCTGGGATCTGACTGTCGTCCCCGTTCCGTCCCCGTGCCCCCACCGCCCACCCAGCAGGCGGCTTGACGACGGCAGGGACCAACTGCCAGCCACCACAACCCG